AACACAAAACTTGGTTAGGTACTGCACATGTAGCAGAATGTTAGATTTGCTTCCTGCAGCGTTGCCAGATTTTGAAAAATGATGCTTTGAAAATTCATACGGGATGACAGAATCAATGACCGGCGACTGTACAAGTAAATGTGTAAAAACGAAAATGTATAATATGGAACCGGTGTCACGAGTCATTAACAGAATCACCTTATCTACGGTTTAATTAATACAAGAGAAAAACATAAATATGTGTAAATTCTTTAAGAATACATGTGGCATCATCGTTAATTAATATCACTTGTTTTATATATTTTAGGACAGTTATCCGATATCAGAAGATATAGAGGACTTTGCAGGTAGTAGTGACGAAGAAGAAGATTTTAAAAATCTATCTATTAATAACGATGAGTTTGATAAAAGTAAATTTAAAAAATTAGATAATATTATATATAATAAAGAATACAATATGGTGAAACATTCACAAATAGGCCTTAGTAAATTAGAAATGATTTTGTCGATAATGAAGTATTGTCAAAAATATAATATCTCGATTCCAGGTATAGTAGATTTGTTTAAAATGCAAAATATGTTTCTTAACAAGAAAATTTTTCCTCAGAATCGTTATGAAGTCGATAGCCTATTCAATCCAGAAGGTGGTATTGATTATCATGTCGTATGTCCGACGTGTAATATTTATATTGGAACATTTAGTAACAAACAGCGGACAACTTTTTGCGAAGTGTGCGATGAACACATAAATTTGAAAGATCCATCATTCACTAATTATTTTGTGATTATCGATGTGGCAAGTAAGATAAGAAATTTGATCGAAACTAATAGTGATTTCTATATTGATATTGTATCTCGACGAAACAAAGAACTAACTGTTCATTTGAGGGATATTGGCGATCATCAAAAATACAAAAAATTTGTAGCATCGTTGCCAATTAATAGGAGAGAATCTTATATCAGTGTTACGTTTAATAGCGATGGATCGCCAACTTTTAAAAGTTCAAAATATTCCATCTGGCCAATACAAATTGTTGTAAACGAAGTACCGCAAGATATTCGTTCTACGCAAAGCATAACTTGTGCATTGTGGTTTGGACGTGACAAGCCAAACATGACATATTTTCTACGTCCCTTTGTTGATTATATTAATAAACTTACGAGAAACGGTATAACATGTGAACTGCAAAATGAAAAAAGGAATCTCCATCTTTACGCATTATGTTGTGTAGATGCTGTCGCACGGGCACCTATGAAGGGTACCGTTCAATTTAATGGTTATTATGGCTGTAATTAGTGTTTGCATCCAGGTGTACGTATTCGCCATGATACTGGATACGTTATGAAGTATCCGATAATGGATGAACATCCTGAAAAGAGAACAGTAAATAACACATTTGCACTAATGCGAAGATCAGTTGATTGGGATGCTCCTATTCTTGGCATCAAAAACGTAACTAGTTTGTTACTTATGAATAATTTCGACATCGTTGATGGGTTTGTTCCAGATCCACTGTACTGCGTTGATGCAGGTGTAGGTAAACAATTTTGCAACTATTGGATGGTTTCATCTGATATGCCGTACTCGGTGCCGAAGAGTATAATTAAAAAAATTGATCGATACATAAAAAACTTCAAAGTACCTACACAACTTGTACGATTATCACGTTCCGTAAATGAACGAGCCTATTGGAAAGCGGCAGAATGGTCAAATTGGATCCTTTTTTACAGCTTACCAATATTCAAATATATATCACAAGAAATTCCACATTTTGATGTGTATATGAATCACTGGTCTCTGTTAGTTGAAGCATATTACTTATTATTAAAAAATGAAGTAAATATAACGGAGTTACAGGAAGCAGATTTACTGTTGAAAGAATTTGTATTCAAAGTCCAAATTCTGTATGGTAAAGACGCAATGTCGTTTAACGTCCATCAACTACTACATTTAACTCAAAGTGTTGCTGATTGGGGCCCGTTGTATGCGCATAGCGATTATGTATTTGAATCAGGTAATGGAAAATTAAAACGAACTATTTATGCAGCCAAAGGTGTATTGAGTCAGGTATGTCGACATGTATGTTTTGAAGAAAGTATAATGATATTACAAAAACATGTTGAAAGTACTGAAGATTCAACGTGTTTAGAGTACGTGAGATATTTAGAAGGTGGATTTGTTAAAAAAACTGTTAAGTTTACTTACAGATATTTTGGAAGAACAGTTGTAAATAAGAATTATATGGAACAGTTTGAGTTACCGATAAATCAAGTGAGAGCCTACGTAAAAATGGTTAAGGATAAATGTTTATTTAAGACATGTGAAAAATTATTGTATAGATCAGATAATGCTTTTGCAATGCTGAAAAATGGCTATTTTATACAGATTCAGCAGTTTCTTATCAATTTTAAGGACGGAAAAGAGTACACTGTATACAAAAAAATAGAAGTAAGTAATGATCCAATCAGTAACAAGTTAATCTGCATAAAACAAGTCCTTGGAATGAGCTTAGATATTGATATAACAGAAACCAAAAATATTGACAAACTATGCGTTTATTTCAGTATTGACTGTAACGATTACATTTCATCTGTTCCTATCATGTATTGTAAAAAAAATATGAATTCTCAGTGTTTGTACTTTCTATTATTACGAATTTTTTTATTCTACAGAGTGGGCCATTTTAACCGACCCAGTGAATTTTCTCGGAAACTATGGGAGATAGTGAAAAACGATTGAGAAGAATGTTGTTCTACTTGGAAGAATACATATCCCTGTGACCATGCCTTTATCCTTTGAAGTCATGTTCAAGGTCAACTTGGTTTTTATAATAGGAACTTTTATATTCGACCTCGAATTTAGAAAGAGCAGGGAATTCTACTTTTATATGAGATAAGCGAGGGATCAGATAAGCCCTTCAATATTATGTAAAGGACAGTTTTCGTAAAACATGACCTCAAAAGTAGAAGACAAAAGTCATGAAATTATTGCTATTTAAAAGTCAACAACTTTAGTCAGAAATATTTAATGCTGAACACAATTCTTGCTCGGTTATTCGAATGTAAAAATTAAGAGAAAAATAAACATAATGTCAACCTGTATAGGTTACCCGGACCCCGCACATTACCTCATCTAAATGTAGAATATCCCGCTCTTTCTGTATCCGGGGTAAAAAAAAGGAGTTACTATTGAAAATAATTAACTTTGAAACTGACCTTCAAGTTCATAAGAATGTCCCCCTCAAATTTGAGCAACTTTCATTTGAACCGTTTTTCGCTAAATCCCATAATGTCCGATAAAAGTCGATCTTGATCGATTAAAATGGCCCACGGTTTACACCAAGATATTATGAAGTACTAACTTGATTTTAAGTATTAACATTAGTAGTGGTTTGAGTCGGTCTACTATTTAAAGCTATGAAATATAAAATAAATCAATTTTACTGATCTAAAAATTCAATTTTAGATACTAAAGAAATCTAATTGTATTACCTAATTACGATCGATAATAATTTGTACGATAACCATTGTTTTGTTGTTATGATAATATTCAAATACCTTAGGTGGTATTTGATCAATTGTTATTTTTTGTTAGAATTTTTTTACGATTTTTAGTTAAGTTAATGATGTAATGGTTTAATTAGAAAGACAGAAAGAATGAGACACTATTTGTGGAAAAAGCCTGCAAGGCATAAAAAACCACTTTATTTTAAAATGCACTGATAATGAACGGATTGATACAAAATGGAATTATAAAAGAGATTAAAAAACGAGTGACGTCGCACAAAAAGACTCGTACGCACGCCGGTATTCGTTAAAACAAGGAGATAAAACGCGCGCAGAGAAATTCACTAACCACGTGGCCGTACGCGAACCGAGAGCTCTTAAACGCACACACACACTTTCACACAACTAATTCTGCTATCGAAGTGACGATGATCTAGCTGATGTTCGACCCGGTGAAGCCGAACAAGTTGTATTGGCGATGAGGAGACCAATCACAAGAGTTTGTTGTTTGTTGAGAAGCGTGGGCTTCTGATGATTGATTGAGAAACGTGGGTTTCTCGTTAGTTGAGAAGCGTGGGCTTCTGTTGTTGATTGAGAAACGTGGGTTTCTCGTTAGTTGAGAAGCGTGGGCTTCTGTTGTTGTTTGACTGGTTAATAATCTGTTGTAGGTTGTTGCTATTGTTGGAATCGCTGACTGTTACTTTCGTTGTTGCTAACGGACACGGCGAACAAAGACTCCGTCCGCGGAGCGCAAGTGAGAGCTGCGCACGCGATCACTAGCTGCTCTTGACTGACTAACTGACTATTCGTTTCCGTGCGCTCTCTCACTCGCCGGTAACAAAATCGCGGGAATCAAGCCCGTAAGGTGGCGCCGCCTAGTCGCCTTTGCGCGCGCCTACCTCCACACTCACACATACGCACACATACATTGTGACGACGGAACATGCTCCCGGGGGAGGCTGCGGAATACAGATTTATCTAATCTTATGAAGCAGATTATGTTAATAATACAATGAACGCTTAATCTAGAAGTGACTGAACATATCACAGAACGCATTTACAAATCTTTGGTTGCTTGACAAGTTGGATTACAAGTTAACAAGTAAGAGACAATTTCCATTGGAGGGATTGCCCTGTTGATTAGGTAATGAGGATATGGTTAAGACTAGGTAAACAACAAAGGAACGTATTTACAAGTATGTACATGGTAATTAGGCTAACTATGATCGATCCTAGTCTAATTAGAACCTCAACGTCTCCTAATCCAGTTCTACAGACCGGATATCACGTCTCAAAAAACTTTGAGCTTCTGGCTGTGAAAATATTCCGAATTTCACCATTCTCGGACCAGGCTTAAGCTGTATTCTCAGAATACAGCGGCCTCTCAGAATACGATAGGGTTCGACTCATTTATGGCAAACCCAATCGCGCACATCTGGGGCCAATCAACGATTCGAATTTGGAAGTTGTTGAGGAACTATGGGGGGACTGCTCTATCGTTCGGTCGGTAAGATACATAATCGAGTAATATTGCGCTTGTAGACTCCAGCTGTAGTTTTTACAGAAGCTACTCGAGCGATGCCGTCACTCCCAGGAAAGACCTCGAGGATTACGCCCAGTGGCCACCTTGCACAATGTGTTAGGTCATCCATCATGAGAACAACCAGTCCAGGTTTAATTTCTGAGTTTGACGTATGCCATTTTTGTTGTAATTGGATCTCATGGAGATATTCTCTATGCCACTTCATCCAGAAGTTTTGTCGGGCTTGGATCATGAAGTTGGTGGTCGACAGACGATTGCTTGTAACTGAAATCAAAGATTCCTCGGGTAAGACATTGAATGGGCGTCCGATTAACAGATGCGCAGGTGTAATAGCTAGTGGGTCATTGGGGTCAGCTGAAAGAGCACACAAAGGTCGCGAATTCAATATCGCTTCAATTTCGATTAAGAATGTTTCTAGTTGTTCAAACGTAAGTTGTTTGTCTAGTATCCGCTTAAGATGATGTTTAAAACTCTTTACAGCTGCCTCCCAAAGACCTCCAAAGTGGGGCGACAAGGGAGGGTTGAAATGCCATTGTATTCTTTTCGTGATAGCATGTTCGCCCACCCTTTCGCGAAATTCAGGTTTCTCGAAAAGGTCGTAAAGCTCCTGAAGCTGTCTGTCTGCACCCACGAAATTGGTGCCGTTATCGGAATATACATTACTTGGTATGCCTCGGCGTGAGACGAACCGACGGAAAGCAATCAAAAAACCTTCAGTAGACAAATCTGATACGAGTTCGATGTGGACGGCCTTTGAAGCTAAACAGATAAAAACACTACCGTAGACCTTTAGGAAGGACTTATTTCGATTTTTCTTTTCTTTAATGAGCATGGGCCCAAAGAAATCAACACCGGTGTGATCAAAGGCAGGAGATCCCTCTACTCTGGCCTTAGGTAAATTTCCCATCTGAGCATGAGCTGCTGGTGGTTTTTGACGAATACAGTCTACGCAACTATGAATGATTTTTCGGATTTGTCTCTTTCCGTTGATGATGAAAAATTTGGACCTAATCGCGTAAAGTGTAGTTTGAATTCCGGCATGCAAATTGGAACGATGAACTTTACGAATTAATAGATTAGTTATGTGGTGGTCTCGGGGCAATAAAATTGGATGTTTTTGATCATATGGAAGATCAGCCTCCTTCAAACGCCCCCCCACGCGAATGAGACCCTGATCATCTATGAACGGAGTTAGCTTGTCGAAGCTAGTTCCCTTGCGACATGATCCAGATGAATTTGATAACTGACGAAGTTCTAGTGAAAATCTTTCTTGTTGAAGAAGCTTGAGAATTTTAGTTTCAGAAGCTGCAACCTCAAGAACTAGTAATGGAGGCATCAACGCTATGATCTTTCTAATTCGGTTCGAGGGATCCGTAATTTCGGGAAACAACCGAATGCGTTGGTTTGGGTTTCTACACGTGAGTTTCCATCGCGAGACATATGCTATTATCCTGGTGAAACGATCATAGGAAGAAAAACGTGAATAGATTTCACTGAATGAAGAAACTGGAACTGGATTGGTTACTAAACAGGTTCCTTGTTTGAGTCCTGGTAAGTCTTTGGGAGAGAGATGAGCAGATGTCGGCCAATCGCGCGGTGGAAGAGCAAGCCACGGGGGACCCGAAGTCCAGAGTGAATTATTAATAAACTCGGATGGCAACTGACCTCTAGACAGAGCGTCCGCCGGGTTGTCCTCCGAACGCACGTGCCGCCATTCGACCTGGTCTCCTAACGTTTGAATGTCGGCAACTCTGTTTGACTCAAAAACTCTTAGCAGGTGCGGGGCCTTTCTTAACCAGGCCAGAACAATGGTGGAATCGGACCAAAAAATAGTTTGATTGATCGGGAAGTTGAATTGGGGTTTAGCCTCTACATAAAGTTTCTTAAGAAGAGAAGCGGAACACAACTCTAACCTAGGAATGGTTACCCCTTTCAGAGGCGCGACTCGCGACTTGCTGCAAATCAACCTAATCACTACCGTATTGGTGGAATCTGAGGATCTAAGGAACATGCAGGCTCCATATCCGTAAGAGCAGGCATCACAAAATCCAAGAACTTGAACTTGAATTGGATTAGAAACTAGGAATTGTCGAGGGAACGACACTTGTCTTAATAGTGCAAGTTCGCTGGTCAGCGATTTCCATTTGAACGAGATGTCTTGTGGAAGCGACTCGTCCCAGGTAATCTTTGCCTTCCAGCAATCTTGGATCAAGACTTTGGCATACAATACGACTGGTCCTAAAAGGCCAAGAGGGTCATAAATCTTAGATGTTTCAGATAAAAGTAAGCGCTTTGTGGAGGTGGCTTGAGCGTCAACGACGTTGGTAGAATACTGAAGAAGATCTTGTTTGGAATCCCATACGATGCCTAACATTTTTTGGATGGGATCTTCCTTGATCACGCAATCTAAATCAAAGATGGTTTTGTCGATACTATCTAAAGCAGACGAGTGATTAGAGGCCCATTTTCGAATGGCAAAACCTCCTCTACGTAACAACGCTATCATCTCGTCGCGAATCGCCAAGATCTCCTCAAGAGTTTCTCCGCCTGACACGAGATCATCGACATAAAAATCACGGAGTAATATTTTGCTAGCTCGTGGGAAGTCCTTGGCTTCATCGCGAGCGAGCTGTTGAATGGTCCGGATTGCTAAGAATGGAGCTGAAGCAGTACCAAAAGTTACGGTATTGAGTTGACAAGTCGACAGTTTTCCTTCAACACGCCATAAGAGCCTTTGGAATTTCCTATCGTCTGGATGTATGAGAATTTAACGGTACATTTTTTCTATGTCCGCCGTGATAACGTACGTATGAGTCCGGAACCTAAGCACTTGCTCAAAGATGGTGTTTTGCAAGGTGGGGCCTACCATCAGGACATCGTTGAGAGAGATTCCCGTTGAAGTTTTCGATGAAGCGTCAAAAACAACTCGAACCTTGGTGGTTTCGCTGGATTGTTTGATCACCGCATGATGAGGTAAATAATAGCTGTCCTCGGAGTCTTCGCTTAGACTCATGTGACCTAAAGTGAGATACTCGTTCATCACCTTTGAGTACTCTACCTTTAACGACGGGTCCCTTTCAAACCTTCTTTCTAGAAAATGAAAACGCTTGAGCGCTTGCGATTTGGATTCACCGAGTTTGAATTTGGAATCTCTAAAGGGAAGACGCACAATATAACGCCCGGAAGGATCGCGCTGAGTGTGATTGAGGAAATGTTGCTCGCAAGCAACATCGTCTCGTGACTTAATCGGTTCGTGATCGAAGTCTTCAATAAGCCAGAAACGCTCAACGAGTTTGTCTAATTTAGTTAAGTTGCACCGAGCTGAGTTTGGAGATGGTTGGTCCCTGACCCCTCCTGCTACAACCCAACCCAGACTAGTTTTTTGCAAGATGATTTCTGATTCCTTGTGTCGGAGTTTAATTTGACCTACAGCTAATACTGACAAGGTAGTACTGGATGATAAAAGAATGTCGATGGACTTTGGTAAATGAAATTGAGGATCAGCGAGTTTTAGATTTTTTGGAATGTCAAAGAGTTTGCGAGGAAAAGTGTCGTTAGGCACAGCATCAGCAATTCTAGGTACAATCAAAAAACGAACTGGAAAATTTGAATTATTGTAATTTGAATGAACACTGGTTTGAATGAATTTGTTAACAGCCGTGGATAAGCCATCGACTGCTTCAATGTTTACTGAGCAAGGTGAATTAGGTAAGGCCAGAGAATTTGCAAAGGTTTCAGTTATCAAATTTACGGTAGAACAAGAATCCAAAAGTGCTCGTGCCACGACCAAATTACCTCGTTTATCCTTGAGCTTAACGAGAGCTGTTGTCATCAGCTGTGAATCTGCAGGAAAAGCTATCGAGGTGTAGGATTTATGGACTAGTCATGCTTGTGGAGTATTGGAGCTTGAGGTATCTTTGTTACCCTTGGGTTTGGAACCTGTATCCGAATGAAGTAATGTATGGTGATTCTTCCCACAAGGCTTGTTATCAACCCGATATCTACAATGTTTATCGCTACTACAAGGGCGAGGATGTTTCCAAAGGCAATTGAAGCAAAGATCGTTCTGTTTTGCGAATCTCCAACGCTCTTGAACTTCAAGAGACTTGAAGGCATCGCACTTAAACAATCGATGAGTACCCTTACATTTTGGACAGGGTAAATTGACAGACGCAGGAGCTGGTGATGTGGATGCATTAGAGGTAGTGGTGACTAAGGATTTAGCCCTTGATTTTGGGTTAGAGGTATCTATAGCAGATCCAGCCGGACGTTTTCTGGAGTTTGATGAGTAATCATTCGATTCATCAAAGGCTTCTTGTTTGAAAATTGCCTTCTGGATGAACTGGAATAAAGACTCTAGAGAAGGGAGTTGATTAACTTCTAATTTGTCATTCCAACGCCCAAAGAGGTAAGGGGGCAAGCACCTCTCAATGATCCTCACGACAATCTCGTCGCTTGGTTGTGCGTCAATTCGCTTCAAGACATTGAGATGTTGACGAGCGGTGTCATAAAGATCAGAGAGAGCCACTCCCTTGCTATTCCTATCTCCCCTAAGCTTAGGAAGATCCAGAATCGCGTTTAGGTGACGATTAGCTACAATCCGTTTGTGATCGTATGAATCTAGCAAGGCTTGCCACGCATTGGCATAGTCATCCGCGCATGGATCGTATTCCTGGACTTTGCTACGAGCACTACCAGTTAAAAGGGAAAAAAGCTGTCCGGCCTTGAAATCATCGCTAAGGTCGGTTCGGTTGTGAACGAGGGTAACAAAGTTGCTTTTGAATATGGCCCAATTCTTGCGCGATCCATCAAATTTCTCTATGGTAATATCCGGAAGTCTGGGTCTATCCTGCCACTCGGTGATTGTAATGTTGCTGTTGTTCAAGGTAGAATGAGCTGAAGGTCCTTCAAATAATACCGTAGTTGAAGTTGCTACCTCGTAATAAAGGTTAGATAGCTCTTGGAATGACTCGATAAGAGCATGCGTTGGTTGGAGTTTGAAAAGCTCTTCATTGAGCTGACTGTACTCATCGTAGAAGCTCTCGACTCGTTTAAGTCGTAACTTAGCGTTAGTGGGATTTGGGTTGTCTTTCAAATAATCCGCTAACACCTTCACATACCTTTCAAGGGACTGAAATTTAGTGGCGATTTGCTCCACTCGAAGCGTTTGATCGTTTGATAAATTCATAGTATCTAGCTTTATCAAATCAATAAAACAAAAAAAATCAGATGTGATTTTAATGACTAAAAACAATTTAAAATGGAATGAATTTAAAAAACGAAACGTTAATTGTGTAGAGAACATGACTATGAGAATTACGCTAATAATTTTAAAAGCGTTGTTTGAGTTCGTTGAACTCCGTGCCTAAAATTATTTTGCTCGCTAAGCGCACGACATTAAAGGGGATTCAATTTCAATAAAATGACGCATCGCTAATATGATTTCGTTATGCGGTCGCTGTAACGCACGCAGCAATAACGCGCGTTGAAATGATGTGTTGCAAATGTGATTTCGTTATGCGGTCGCTGCAACGCACGCAGCGACAACGCGGATTCGAACAAATGTCCGAAAATTCAAATCAATAAATAAGTGGATGAAAATAGTCGTAAATTTCAAATAAACAAAAGTCTTATCTTAGTTATTCCCGCGATGCAGAGGCTCCACTGGGCGATGAGGCTTCCTTAGTTGAGAGTGACGGTTGTATGCTAATAGATGATGTCGACAAAGAACGAAATTGAATGTTGTAGTTAAAACTGCGACAAGTCTGCGCTTGCCTTTCAACGGCGTGTTCGCGCCGAATTCTCAGAGGTCAACGAGTACTAACACACTGTGTTTATACGATGCGCGCGGTCACTTGTTTTCGCATGACGTCACTCGCGCACAAAGGAAACGATCGGTATTCAAACCTCACAGGAGGCACCATGTTTTGTTGTTATGATAATATTCAAATACCTTAGGTGGTATTTGATCAATTGTTATTTTTTGTTAGAATTTTTTTACGATTTTTAGTTAAGTTAATGATGTAATGGTTTAATTAGAAAGACAGAAAGAATGAGACACTATTTGTGGAAAAAGCCTGCAAGGCATAAAAAACCACTTTATTTTAAAATGCACTGATAATGAACGGATTGATACAAAATGGAATTATAAAAGAGATTAAAAAACGAGTGACGTCGCACAAAAAGACTCGTACGCACGCCGGTATTCGTTAAAACAAGGAGATAAAACGCGCGCAGAGAAATTCACTAACCACGTGGCCGTACGCGAACCGAGAGCTCTTAAACGCACACACACACTTTCACACAACTAATTCTGCTATCGAAGTGACGATGATCTAGCTGATGTTCGACCCGGTGAAGCCGAACAAGTTGTATTGGCGATGAGGAGACCAATCACAAGAGTTTGTTGTTTGTTGAGAAGCGTGGGCTTCTGATGATTGATTGAGAAACGTGGGTTTCTCGTTAGTTGAGAAGCGTGGGCTTCTGTTGTTGTTTGACTGGTTAATAATCTGTTGTAGGTTGTTGCTATTGTTGGAATCGCTGACTGTTACTTTCGTTGTTGCTAACGGACACGGCGAACAAAGACTCCGTCCGCGGAGCGCAAGTGAGAGCTGCGCACGCGATCACTAGCTGCTCTTGACTGACTAACTGACTATTCGTTTCCGCGCGCTCTCTCGCTCGCCGGTAACAAAATCGCGGGAATCAAGCCCGTAAGGTGGCGCCGCCTAGTCGCCTTTGCGCGCGCCTACCTCCACACTCACACATACGCACACATACATTGTGACGACGGAACAACCATAAAGTTTATTGCTTTACTCTTGTTCTTACTGAATATGTATTAAACTTAATTTATAACTGAACCGCCGAGTACATTTAAATTGATTTACATATCCTCTATTCCAATCTCGCGCGGACAAACCAAGAGACCGCCCGAACGAGAGGCGTCTCGCTGTGACTAGCCCACGACTAACATCAATAAGGTAAGCCTAAATGTAACTAAATCCATTTTGGATTTCCAGCTGGATTTTTGCAATAGGGATGTACTAATACTACTCACAATGGCGTTAAGTGCGCGGATTTTGGTGGGCTGGCATATGTTTTTGTTTGTAAAAAAGGGTTTAAGGGAGGCGAAAGCGCCGTTAGCCTTATTACGAACGGATAGAATTTGTTTGTTCCAGTTGAGCTTTCTGTCAAATATACCACTCCTAGATATTTGGTAGATTTACTCCACTGGATTTTATGGGAACCGAAAATGAGGTTATCGAGGGGGATGTCGTGATAGGAGAAAAATAAAGCTTCAGATTTAGCTTCGTTGAGGTTAAAGCCCCATTTATGGTACCATTTTAGGAGATCTGGGATATATTTGTTGAGAACTGAAGAACAGAACTTCTTAGTCTTGGAGGGTTATAGGAGGGTCACGTCGTCGGCGTATTGGGCGGTCATCATATTAGTTTGGGAGGGAATGTCATTGCAAAAGATGTTAAATAGAGAGGGGGAGAGTTTTGAGCTCTGAGGGACACCAGCGGTGACCTTTTGGGGCGAGAAGAGAAATTTGCCAACCCGAACTTTAAAGGTCCTGTCGGTAAGGAAGAATTTTATGAGGCCGATCAGATAGAGGGGGCAATCAAGCTTTAAGAGCTTGAAAATGAGGCCGTTGTGCCAAACTCTATCGAAGGCTTGTTTGACTTCTAGAAGAAGCATGGAGGTGTGTTGTCTTTTGTTCCGGTTGTCCGCGATGAACTCGGAAACCCAGAGAAGTTGGTGGCAAGTATCGTGAAAGTGTTGGAAGTCGGGGAGTATTTTTTTTCGCGATGAATTGGTTGAGGCGTGAGAGGATGATGTTTTCCGTAACTTTGCTGAGTGGGCTGAGAAGGCTGATTGGTCTGTAGCTTGAGGCTTGATTAAGGGGTTTTGCAGCTTCGGGGAGGCAGATAATTGTGGCTACTTTCCAAGTTTTTGGGAAGTATTGTATAGTCGCATCATTTCATTGATGATGTTACAGATAGATACGATGTGGATGCGAGGGAGAATTTTTAGGACACTGTTCGGATTACCATCAAGTCCAGGGGCTTTACGGTTTCGAAAGGCTTTAATCACGTCAGAGACTTCTCTGGGAGAGGTTGGTTGGAATTCGGGGTTGGAGGTGTTCAGATTGCGCACTGTTTCATTAACAGAGTCGTGGAAATTGGTGAAGTTTACGTGTGTGGGGAAAGGGAAGCATTGTTCTTTGAGGGAGTCCACGAAGATGTTCGCTTTGCCCTCTTCGGCAGAGAAGGATATTACGTTTTTGGTGAGAGGAGGCGAATAGGATTGACGGTTGCGTAGTGATTTAATCACTTTCCAGTAACGTCTTGGATTTTGTTCAGCTTCGGACATGTAGCTGTTGAAAATGGAATGGCGGGAGGCTTGTAGGGAATTATTCAATTCACGTTCGAGTTCGTTGAGCCTGGGGCGGTGGTGTGCATTTCCGGTTTTTTGGAAAAGTCTGCGGGTCTGATTTTTCCTGCGAATTAAATTACGGACTTTTGGAGGGATTCTCGCTTTGGAGGGGGGCGGGGAGAGGGCATGCTGCTAGCTAGCTTATTTTGTCCTTAATTTCCACTGTGAGGGCAACAACGGAGTCTTCGATGTCGGAGGTGGAGTGTATTTGCTGACATTTGAAGGAGGAGGTTTCGAGAAGGTATTGTAGGGTTAGCATGTCGATTTTATTTTCGCTGGGAATGTCGATTAAACTGAGGCCGGGGACTTCGAGAAGTACCGGGTAGTGATCTGAGTTCAGAGCAGAGATGGTACAGGGATCGTTTTCAAGGACGATATTCTTAGTGATAAAAA